GACTTTCAAAGCAATGATACCCTGGGTTAATTACTCCCTCTCTGCCACAGGTGTGAGGTTAGTGTTTCAAACTGCCACCAGCTGTTCCTACTTGGTACACTTAAGAGGTGATGTCCTGCTTGCTTTTTCTTCCCTACCTATAAATTTGCAGCCTTTTGCTTGTGCTTGCTTGTTCAAGTTTTCTGTACTTAGAAGTTCTAGAATGTTTAGGCATGACATACAAAAAGGTGATTTCCTGCCTTTCATCATCACAGTCCCGCTTGTTATTTTCTGGCAGGCCTGTACTAATTCTGCTGCTTATGGGACAAACTTCCTTTATTTAACTCCTGCAAAAAATAACCCAAAGTAGGTTCATGTTCCTTCACCGAATCACTCATTTGGAAAGCAGGAGTGGTTTGTTATATTGTATGTACCCAGTCTTCCCAACTGGCCAACTTCCTCGGCAAAAGAAGTTTTAGTTTGGAAAACAGATTGGTGAACTCCTAATGGAAAGCTCTGTTGAGAGCTATTAAATATGCAAACAGTATTCCTGCTCAGAAATTGTCTAATTTTTTTTAAGGCTGTAATGGTACAAAATGTTATCTCTCACCCAGTTTTTATACCCATTCTTAAGCATCAATGTTAATAAGAGGAGAGCAGGCTGAACTAAATAAACCCATCTTTGATCTCACTCTCTAAGGCTAATCTCATTACTTGCATCCTTACTGAGCTTCATTTTGAATTTGCAATCATGTCACAAAACCCACCACCTTTAACAGAGGTGTATCCACCCATTATTTTATTTTTTTTTTTTCCATGATTGACTTTTTCCACACACCAGTTTTTTCAAGCTTAGCTCTATGGAAAATAAGGGTGTTTCAAGTTAAATGTGCCATTATTGTTGTCTTAAAACAAAGTAATTAGGTCATACATTTGGCACATGGCAACTGTTTTGACCATTTTTAAAAATAAACTTCTGCATTGTATCAATTAAAAGCTCATTTAATTCTTTCCTAAAACTGTGATCTTGTATCCCACTTTGTGATCTGTTACACAACATTAATGAACTTCAGCCGAAGGGTGGATTGTTGTGAAGATCTCGTGGGTCAGTTTTTTCAGCCTGCTGTCACTGGTCACATTTCAGACTGCATCTCTTAACATTTGCTGGGACTGCTGATGCTCGTTTTGTTGGTGGAGTAATGCAGTTTGTCCTGTGGAGCTTTGTATGCTTTATACACAAATTTGAGAAACCTTCTGGTTTTATGTCACTGTAAGTGAAGTGAGAGTCTTCCAGTCGGGCTAAAAAAGAAATTTAGTAATTTCAAAACAGTTTGTGTTTTCGTCTGCATAGTTCAAAACTCGCAGCAACCTTATTAGATTCACTTTGATAAGTGAAAGCTGAAGACTTTTTAGGTTTTTGAAGCATAGGTTGGTTCCTAACAATAAGAAAAAAAGCTGCTGTTTTCTCAGTGCTCTTTGCTTTGCATGCATAAATTATTATTTTACTTTAAATTAGGAAATGCACAACTGTGATTGGTGTCCTAGGAGAGCAGGTATTTCCTTCTACCTTTTTGGGATGGTCTTATGAGCTTAATTCTGTGTTTGATTTCTATTCTTGAAATAAGTTGTTGAGAAGCCTCTAGGTCAATATAGATGGAAGTCCATAAATCTCAGTAAATATACTTAAAATATGAATGCTTTTTCATGTTGTAAAAATGAGACTTCTAAATCTTTTGCAGAAGATTTTTATTTCTTTCTAAAACACTCCAGATTGTGCCAAAATTATTTCACTGTGATCTTTATGCTATTATTACAGGATGACAAAGGTGTCTGAGTCACTGCTCTGCTCTTGGAGTCTCTTCAAAGCCTTTTATCATAGTGATGTTAGTGAGGAATAATGCACAGAATTGTCAAATCGTCAAGGTCGGAAAAGACCTCCAAGGTCATCTAGTCCAACCATCTGCCTACCACCAATATTTCCCTGCTACACCCTGTCCCTCGGTACAACATATAAATGTTTCTTAAACACCTCCAGGGATGGTGACTGCACCACCTCCCTGGGCAGCCTGTACCACTGCCTCCCCATTCCTTTGAAGAAGCATCTTTTCCTAACATCCAACTTGAACCTCCTCTGGCACAACTTGAGGCTATTCCCTATAGTTCTATCACTGGTTATGTGGGCAGTGTCAATGAACACATCTGAGTCACCTGCACCTCCTAGATTTGTGTTACTTGGTTATTTCTGTTTGAAACTGTTGTGTTGTCACTGTCTGGTAGTGTGATTCTATCTAGACAGGAAGACGAAGTCACATATAGAAACTGTTAGATTATTTTTCAACAACTCAAAATGCAATGCAGATTGTTGTTTGGTTTGTTTTCTGTATTAGCAGCCTGTATTCAATGATTTGCATGCAGTAGAGAGGGGAGTTGCTGAGGCAGCCGTTCTTCTATTTCATCAAGTAGGAGAGGCTGTGTTCCTTGCTTCCTTTCCAGCTGGACCTCAGTAGTAGCACTGAGACCAGTTACCCAGCAATAATAAGGTTGTGTGCTTTGTCCTTGCAATGATGAGATTCTTTTTTTTTTTAAGAGCAATACTGGAATGAGAGTTCCTATTTAGTCATGAAGGAGGTGTGTTGGAGTGGCCTGGTTTGCCTGTAGTTGTATGTAACTAAAAATACAGGTGTCCTATTTACAGAACCATGTTAAAAAGAACTTTGAAAAGGTCCTTTTGAATGTGTGCTTTGTTATTTCCACGTTTAAAAATCTTCCAGAGGGGTCTTGTGATCTTTGATCTTTAGTTCTTCCGAAAATATTTAATTTCATCAAGTCAAGGAGGATTAGAATAAGGGAAATCCAATGAGTGTTGTAGGCCTAGGCTTTGTTCAGCTGATACATGGTTCCAAATTATGGTAATGTTGCAGTCAATCTAGCCTGTAACTTTTTCAGATTTCTGGTGCATTGTGGTGCTTAGGGCAGTTAGATACCTGCTTTTTTGCAGTATTCTTCAGTGGTTGGTATTCAATGGTAGCTCATAACAAATTCAGGTTTTTCCCCCATTCCTTCACAATTTAGTGTCCCAGAATCTATTTTTCAAACATATGATCCACTGCAGCTGTGTGAATTTCTTGTGTGCCTAGCAAAATCTGGGTCTTAAAGGCAAGACACAAGGAAGAGTTGGCTTATGAATAACAACATATGTTTGTTGTAAATCCCTTCTCAAGTTCTCAGTGAAAATTTTCTTCAGTCTTCTGACAGTCAAAGACACAATCCATGCTTTTTAAAGTAACCGGAAATACAAATAAGTGAATGACTACTTTTTTTTTTTTTGTGGCCGGGGATGCAGAAGGTGCAATTAAGCTAGTTCAGTCAAACAGCATTCAAGAGGAGATAGGCTGCTGAACAACAGATGGAAGGGGAAGTTATCTGAGAGAAGAACTCCATATAAAGCACGAGATCTGTGGCAAATCTAGTGCCATGTGTACAGATGATACATGTGATCTGTTTCTATCAAATGATATCAGCTGACAAATAAGTCCCACCGAATTAACACACTTCCATCCTAGCAATGTTTTTCATATGTGAACTTGCATGTGTACTTTTTATATATAGTGTATGTGTTGAAACTTGATTGAAGTGCAAAGTTCTCCAATTTATTTGGAGCGGTGCTTTCTTTTCTCCAAATTGTTATGAAATTGGATATACTGAAATATGGTATAGTACCATGTGTTGTATTTTATGATACAGATAAGCCTGTAAGACTTGTAGATTTGGTGATCTGGCATATTGTTTTATCTGAGCTAAAAAAAAAAAAAAGTCTCCTGCTACCAATATTAGAAGTATGCTCAGCAGTATATTTTCTCATAAGTGCTTCACTGAATAGCATCTCTAGGGGGGACAAATGGGGAAAAAATATATATATATTTTTTTATAAATGTTTTAGTTCAAGTTGTGTTTTACTATTAAAATGTATCCACTGAATAAGAAAACGTCTTTTTTCCATCTTTGTTATTTAAATTTTTTTTAAAATGGAATAACATTTTAAAATTAACCACCTAAAATAAATCCTGAATTTAGGCAATTTATGTATACATATGATCAGTAGCTGCTTTTATTGCTTTTTTCATTTCATCTGTGAGATTTGCATCTTCTCTATTTCTTGCTCATTCAAAATGGAACTGAACTAATTGTGTTTAAACAAGGTCTAATGTTGAGACTAAGTTAATTATTCAAATTCCCTCTGTAGTCAGTGGATAGTGATACAAACAGTGTAATTAATCCCATCTGAGGGCACGTATCTGAAAGTGAATTGTCTTTTGAGGAGACTTTTCCATCCACGCAGATGGAACAAGTAACGTAGAGCAATGTGTAGTTCAAGGCAATCTTAAACACCTGTCTGTTTCTTCAAAGAACACCATCCCTGGTTGTAATTATGTCATTGTAGGAACAGTTTGTGCATCTCTCATCTTTAAATGTTACTGCAGTGGTGATTTCTTTGCTTTGGAATGGTTGAAGCAGTGGAAGGGTTGAATTGCATCATGCCTCTTTATATCATTTGGTCACCTGTAATTTGGCTGTAGTGATCTTCAGATCACTTTAAATAGTAACAGAATGTATCCAAGCATGGATCAACAGTATAGTTTTATAATCTGCATTCTTTTCCACCAGTATGCAATTTGGTTGTTACTGGATGGAGAAGCAGGATGCAGGGAAGGGGTACAGAAGACTGCTAGTAGGCAGGCTTATAATAGTGCTGTATAGATTTTAACTTGTGTATTTCCTATTTTTTACGTCTGCGTCATTTTGCTTTTTCAAGCTGTTCAAATGTCACACGTGTATTATGTAGGAGGGCAATAAAAGCTCTACCAACTTATATGCTTCTGTGGAGCTTAGCAGTGTTACAGTCTCATACTCAATTAACATTTATATATATATATATATATATATATATATAACTGTGGGGTGGGTTTGCGTGTTCTGCTGTTCTTTGTTTCACAGGTGCATTTTAAAATGTCTTTCTATAGCTAACTGTGCACCACCGTGCCAAAACGGAGGGATGTGTCTGCGGCCTCAGCTCTGTGTGTGTAAGCCAGGAACAAAAGGCAATTCCTGCGAGGATACAGTCATGCAAGACACGTCTTCCACTGGAGGCCGGAGCCCCGTTGTTCCCCCTTGGCCCATCCCCCAGCAGGCTGCCCAGCAGGCCTTCTCCCAGAAGGTGCAAGTCCCACCGAAGGCTGGCCCTATGCCTCAGATGGCATTCACCATCAAGCAGAAGCCTCCTGTTGGATTACCTCAGCAAATGCAACCACAGTAAGTGTTTTGTTTGTTTTTAAATTTATTTTCTCTTTCAGTGAGGTCCAGTATGTTAGAATTATAAAATATTGTTCCTTGCAAACTGGAAACATGACTATCATAGAAAAATTTTCTTTCTCTGCTTCCAGACTTTATATTACTTTGATTAACTGAAATACTTCAAATGAGCCTGAAATTTCTCTGCCTATAATGTTGCTTTTTTGAATGCGCGTGGAGCTTGCTTCAGGGCTGCATGTGATATGTGAGGACACGATTGCACAGGAGCCTGGTGATCGAATTGAATGTTGACAGTTTTAGGTATCTGCAGCAGCTACTATTCCTTCAGCTTCAGGTGAAATCAGAGGCAAAAAGTGTATCCCTCCTGCAACAGATGTTATTTTTGAATAGCTGTAAGTAGGATACAGTTATTTTTCTTCTAGCCACAAGAGAAAGATTATTAGGACTGGGGATTAAACTGTGCTTTCCCACATCCAGAATTATAAAAAAGGTAATCTTAAAAAGCCCACAGTCAGAATGGAATCGTATGGTTATTGTAGACTGCACCGAAGAAGTTGCATGCTCCTAATAACAAAGTACACCTCTCCAAGCTGCTTCTGAGAATAGAGATCACCAGACACTGCCAACGATATCTAGTGCTTTCAGGTTGCCTCTTTGTTGGATTCCTACCTCCCAAACTTATTCAGTTCCTCTTGTGGATGTTCTAGCTTGTGTTATTGTGGAGTCATAAGCAAAACCAGCTTCATACATGTCATATAATAGGAAGAAGGAACTTAACCCCAGTTCCGCTGGAGTTCCTAACCTCTTTCCAGCATGTAATTCGAGAAATTTAGAAGGTGGAGTGGGCTTTAAGAACAAATGGATTCGAAGTCACAAGACAAAAAATTTCACCCAATTTTGATATTTTTTTAAGTGCTCTGAGCCCAGTTTAGGTCTATCAGAGAAATAACATTATTGGAATCACTAATATGAAGGGGATATTACCACTAAAATCATCATACTTTTCACTGCTCCCTTTTCACAGACCCATACAGACCCAGCAGAACTACTAATCCTCAGCACCTAGCTTCTTTGCCTAGCTCCACAAAGCTCTCTCTAGCAAATCATTTCAAAGAAGCCAGGCAATTCCTTTCTTATCAGAACTTACTCCTGTGTGCCTTCCTCCCTCTTCTTCCCTCTGCATAGTATTCTCAAGCATCTCTTTCTTCTGTTGCAAGACAGGCAAGTTGTCCAAATTTGGTAGTAAAATGTACTTCAATTAAAAGAAAAATGTTGTTTCCTCTTGCCTGAAAAAAATTCTGTCCTTTTCCACACCCTCTGAAATTATGCTTAGGAGAAGCTCATGGATATTTCCAGTGAAGATTTATCTGCCATTATTGCTGGAAATTCTGAGTTCAGGGATAAATATGAAGAAAGGAGATAGCAAACACGTATTTGTCTTTGCTTGTGTAGAGCACCAAGCTATGACTTGGTTTTTCTAGAGAGCACTTGCCTTTGCATGCTGCAAAATGTCATGCTTCACCAAAATCTCTGTTCCTGCTTGCATAGAACAATGTTCCAGATGCAAACGAACTGACTTTGGACTCAAGAAAACTCAAGAAATTATCTGTTATCTGAAGACTTCTGTACACTTCCACAAGCAGTGCTAGCCTATGTGGACTTTGTTAATACGACCTTCTTAACCTAAGGATTTTCTCCTAGGCTTAGAGAGACTTTTTTTAAGGTAAATGGGACTGTTAGTTTTTGAAATGACATGAGGATGAGTCATTTTCATGCAGTTTAGTAGTGGAGTGGGAAAAATAACTCTGAAGACTCTGTTTTTCTGAGAAATCCAGCTTATAACCCTATCAGGGGACAGGGAGGAAGTGAGCTGTTTGACAAACCACTCACATAAGACAAAAAGGTGCATGTCTAGATGTAACTGTTGAAATCAGTGCTATCTTATCAGTAGATCTTGTGTAGACTAATAGGACAATTTACAGGGCTGAAAGAGGATTGAGGTCAGATCTCTACCATTAGGGCAGAGCAAATGATCTAATTTGTACTTCAGTTTCTCCTTTGAATATCTTGTGGTTTTTGTCTTTTCTATATGCTACTCAAATCTTTTTGAATAGCTTTTTCCTGTTCCTACTCTTAAAAACCTGTGAAAGGCTATGGCAGGACTAGGGCTATTGGCTGTGGATGCTGTTGATATGATAATCCAAACACTGCTTGCTATGCTAAGTTGTCAAGGACTGTTGAGAGCCAGAGCAGAACTCAACCTGAAACACCAAAATAAGCTCCTACAGTAGACTAGTCTCTACAGCACTTCTGTTTTGCCGTTCCCTATCAATTTTTGTTTTTCAATGCAATTTTTCTAGCAATTCATCAAGATATGTTTTAATCAGTTTTCATGGGATTACAGTAGCAATTATAGGGAAATAGGAAGTTCACTTTTCTTCTTAGAGATCTTTTTTTGAAGAACAGGGTGCTGAACAGAAGGAAACCTGGAGAGAGATTAATTTCCTGGAATATCTTGGATTTAGAACACACAGGCACTGCCATAGCCCTGGGCTGGGGATGGATGTTATCAGGTACAGGGACTCATCTTTGAAGAATGTTAGCAGAAGACGTGGATGGCTATAATTGAAAACAAATGGTGTCTTGGAAACAAAAATCTGCTTTTTATTGAAACCTGTTGGTAACTCTGATCTCAATAACAGATGTGCTTTGTGGTCCTGAATTGCTGTGATAGCTCTCGAGTAACTCTGAGCTTGCCCTTCGCTTCTCATTCTCTTACATGTTGGCAGCAGCATAGCCCCAACAGTTTGATTTTCAGCATTTACCAGCTGTGGGAGCAAAAAATCATGGATGAGGAGGGAGGGGGAGAGGAGCTTTTTTTCTTTTTTTTTCTTTAAGCTTTCCATTATGGTTTTCAAAATACTCACTAGCATCAAGCTCAGTAATATACTGAAGTGTTTCAGTGTTCCTTCAGCCAATAGCAGCCTCTTCAAAGAGACAATTGTTAATGGGATTGCGAAGTGATAATGAAAGTTTGAAAGTTGGAAAGCTGGCTCTTGCACTGGGCAAAGGTCAACAAAGGAGAGGTAAATGTGTGCAGACTTTAGGTGACAGAACTGGGATTATCGGTGTGTCTGATGCATTTAGAAACACTCTATGAAAGGTTCCCTCCAAATCTGTAATCTTGGAATACTGGAATTAGTTTCATGCTATTGCAGAACAAGACATTTGATCATTTTAGTGAATCTAATTGACCTGTGTATTAAAGTTGTTTTTTCCCCTCTCTGCTCAAGGAAGTAATGTATTTTCCAATAGTCCCTCAGTTCTTAATAGCTGGATAAAGACAAGTGTGAGGTCAGTATGAACTTAAATTAATAAGCAAACCTGAGAGAAGAGTTGGGCATGCTGTTGTAACCTTACTGAAATTATCAATGGAGGACACTTGTAACTGAAAAATGAATGTATTCTTTTTATAGTCTCTTCATAAGTTATGGTTTTGTGTAGATAAATGTAGATGCTGTTGACTTTGCATTGTACAAACTCTCTTGGCTGGGGCTTACTACAAAATGTAAGAGCAGCTCTTCTACCTATTCCATTTCCTGTCCTGTGTATTAGAATTGTTTTTGTATCTTTGTCTATATGTAATTTTTTTTTTTTTTTAAGCAGCAAGATTTTAACATTGGTTTACAAGATTGGTGACCAGGTGAAGATTTAAAGAAAACACTTCTCCAGTCTTTTTTTTTTTTTTAAGGTTAACAGCTGATGAGAGTAATTAATTCTAGAGGACATCACTGTTAGGACTGTTCTTTGTACTAAAGATATTAAAGCAGTACAGACTAAGTGAAACTTTCTATAGGGAAGAGCCAGAGCACTTAAACTTGACGGCAGGATATGCTTGAAAGTATTTCATTGAATTTTATTGTTTTGACAAGAGATTGAACTACTGTCTGAAAAGACCCTGGCTTTTTACGAAGAAACTTTTTTAGTTTTTAAGGGATGGCATGGGACTTCGGAGTAGTGTTCAGTTTAGAAGTACAGATGTATTCAGGTTGGAAGTGATCTCTGGAGGCAGTCTGGTCCAACCTTATGCTTAAAGCAGGTTTGCATTGTTGAGCTTTGAGTAGTTCGGGGGCTTCAAGGCTGGAGATTTTATAGTATCTCTGGGCTCCTACTGCAGTGTTTGGCCTTCCTCAGGGTTAAAATAAATAAAAATGCCATGACTGAAAAAATCTCTGTCTAGCTGTAATTTTTATTGTTGCACATCGTGACTGTTACGCTTTGTGGTTTTGAGTCCATCTCTAAAGTCTGGCTCTATCTTCCCTATGAGTTCTCAAGAGTTGTAAATAGTAACATCTTCCCCTTGAGCTGCGCAAATGCAGTTCTCTCTTCTCATGCAATCTGTGCTCCAGTTCTTGGCGGTTCTGGTGGACTCATTCCACTGTGTCAGTATCCTTCTTGATTTGGAAAGCCCCAAACTGGATGTAATGCTTGTGATGCAGTCTTGCGAGTGCCAAATAGAGGTGAATAATATTCCTTTGACCTGCTGGCTGTGCTGTTGCTAATGCAGTCCAATATGTATGATTGGTGTTCTTTGCTATGGGGGCATGCTGCTGACGTGTGTTCAGCTTGTCCACCAAGGCCCTGAATCCTTTTCTCCAAGGCTGCTTTCCAGTAGTTTCACCTCCAAATCTGTACTTTTGCCTAGGGTTGTTACATCTCAGGACTTTGTGTGCCTTTGAACTTGTGAGCCTGTCAAAATCCCTCAGCCCTCTGGTTCAACAGGTGTTTCCTTAGATTGAAATTGTGCGCATAGTTGCTGAGGCTGTGTTTTTCCTCTTGTATGGGTCATTAATAAAGATGTTGAACAACACTGGTCCCAGTATTGATATGTAAGGAAAATAGCTAGTTACTCACTTCACCTCCTGTCTGTTGGGTTTTACATGATTGATTAGTGTCTTTTCAGTCAGGAAGTATTGGCAGCTTTTTCTGCTACTTTATAA